CTTAAATCCGATGGGTGTAAAAATAAAAAGTAACAGCATTTCTCTAGGGCTGTGTTTTTGTTTTGTTTTGTTCTTCTTTATAGACATGACAAAAACAAGGATTAACTTTCCAAATACTCATGGTGCACAAGAAGGTTATGTATGCACAGTATTTCTAATTTATTCAAATTCAATTTGAATTTGGTCTGAAGCTATCTTGTATGAAATGTTAGCTTTCCTGATATTTAATAATATTTATTATGTTTGCATATAAGCTCAAAAAATTAATGCAGAAGTACTACTTTACTCATGGTTATCTTCAGGTAAAATGTAAATATTAGTGGTTATGTTTAAAAGCCTGATTTTATATAGATGGAGTAAGTCGAGAAAAAAAAAAAGACTATGGAAAGGTAAATTAGGTCTTAGTCTTGATTCTGTTACTAGCTGTTTGACCTTGAGTACTCTTCACCCTTCAATGGGCCCCAGTTTGCTCCTCTATGAATTTTAGGGGGTTGGACTAATTGACAGGCCAGGCTCCTTCCAAGTCCAACATTTCAAAATGCTGACATTCCAGGTTCTATAATCTTGATATATAAAAATAATCTTTCATAAACACACACATAAACATAACACATGATCAAATATTAGAATGACTCTTGGAAAAAAACATACTTCCTATCTGGGTTATACTTTGCAGCAATTAGGCAATTCATTTGGCATTTGTTTGATTGTATAATTTAATGACAATATAAACAGCATAGTTTTGTTATTTTTCCTTTAAAAAGACTAAAGCAAAATGATTTAAAGCTAACAAAAACTACTGTGACATCAGTTTGACATTCAAAGTTTGTTTCTTAGCAAAATGGCCAAAGATATTTTGACTTGATACAGAGTATATAATATAAAGACTTTTAGACCTAGAAATCTTCAAACATTATTCGAATTTAGCAAAACATAAGCAAAATTTTAATATCAAAGTGCTAAACAGTACTGCCTTAAAAGTCACTGCAAATGAACCATAAAATAACGGCATGGGAAGTGACATTTATTGTACAAATGGTTAATAAAAAGACACATTATAAATATATATATGTAACCTGCTATATTTATATATATATATATATTTGCTTATTTAATTTCTAATTGGTGTATCCAAGTCACTGTGAACACCTCATTTAATTACTCTGTAACTCAGCTTTTTGGAGCTGGTGGTCTTGCAATAAATACAGGCAAAGCTATTACAATATAACGTGCATACAAATGTTTATACAAAAAAGGACACTATGCAACAAATTATCTCATAATAATATGGCATTAACAGTAGAAACATACAAAAGGGAGTACGAACACGGAATGTTGAAACGCAACCCACTAATCCTTCCTAGTACTCACACTCATACTATTTTTTAAATCTTTTCTAGTATTCACATTCATACTATTTTTTAAAAAGAAGATTTGCTTGCTCTCCAAAATTGTCTCCTTAACCAATAACAAAAGTTAAATTATATCTATAAAAATCCTTATTGTCCCTGGTGCTTACCCTGTATGACCCAGTTCCTACTGATTTACATGTTCTTATCTAGGGATCAAATACTGACTTATGGGATTTCTGAACGAACACACCAGTCAGTTGCTATAACTGAAGCAAGTTTAGGGAACTCTGGTGGGGTTGATAGAATATAACCAAAACAGTTACACGTAATCCAGTTTATAATCTGATCCACTTTCAGGATAGCTGGACAGTCAGGGCAGGGATCTGGTTCCATCAAGAATGGCCTAAAAGTCTTGGATGGGCCATACCTCAGAGGGGTTCTAAAGGGAAGGTGAACCCAGCCTCTGCTAAGAATATTAATGTGTCATTTGCTAACATGACTGCCTCCTTTGTATTTCCATATAGAATAAAGGAGGAGTTAATAAACAAGACTTAGTAAGACAGCACTTTAAAAAATTGCACTTGTTTATGGAAGCAAACAGCCATTATTATTTTGCTATGTCTGATTTGTAGGTAATCCTCCATCTTTCACCATTTGTTAAAGGAAGAAAGAAATTAAAAGGACATTTCTGCCTTGTTTGCACCACATACATACCTTTGATACAGGAAGCGTATTTTCAAGGGACCAATCTTTAAGACACATCCTACCCTGGCGAACAACCCTTGGCTGTTCTTGTTTTTAAATACAAAGCAACTATAATTGAATTCCCCAGAAAGAGTTTTAAAACAGTTATATTATCCTTTTTTTTTTTTTTCCTGCTGGGATAGCATTGTCCAAAAGTGCTTTGTTAGCAATTTCTTAGAAAACCCTCATGAACTATATCCCCCTCCCACCCTATCCCTCAATGCCTAAATATAAAACACAACCCCAACACAATACTCTGCAAGTTTTAGGTTGTAAGGAAAAGAGCCAGAAAAAAAAGTCTTTGCTTTCTACAGGAGCTGCTTTTCCTCTTAAGGAAGGACAGGAAATGATAGGTTTCCAGACATATCCCTTTGCTGTGTAGCAAGCAGGTGCTAGGAGAGGAGGCGGCTCACTGCTCAGGCTGTTCTTGATTAGAAAGGTAGGGTGTCCAGGAAGAGCTTGTCAATGATGGAAGGCGGAGACACCAAGTCTTCCAGCTTCAGGTAGAAGATGCGCTGGAGGCCCAGGGTGCAGATCTTCCTCAGTTCGACCAGCGCACTCAAGACCTTGGGCTCGGTGGGCTCCAGAGCCTGTCCCTTACTCTGGTGGTCTTTTAAACTGCTTGTGATCTTGTTGCATAGCTCCTCAACTCTCTTTGGTTCTTTCAACCCATGTCTTTCTGCAGAGGGATAGAGAAGGGCAAGTTTAGGAGGCAAATATATCTTAAGACAGTTTGAATCCCTAATTGAGGTCTGTGTCTCATTCTGCCAGTTCGGATGGCGTTTTAATCGAAGTGCCCTCCCTCTTAGAGGTAGCTCATGGCCTTTGGTATTAAACAACACCAAGGTTTGAATCCTAGTCCCAACACTTACTTGCTGTGAGTCCTAGAGTAAGTCTCTTAACTTCTGAGGACAAATTTCCTTATGAGATGAAAAAAAACGATGATACTCAATTCAAGGTTTCTGCAATAGCCAGCTTAGGTAAGTTAACACAAGGGAAGCACAGCTCCTGGCACACAGCCACGTGGAATGAATGGCAGGGTGGTTATTATTTTGCACACATTATCCTACTTAGGTCTCAGAAAGCATGGTCAGTAGGCAACCATTTTTCAGAGTGGCATAGAAACACATCCAGGCAAATGAATTCATATTTCTATCTTGACAGACTCACTTGAGGGAGGTGGGGAGGCTGTAAGTTCCATTTGCTAATCCAAGGACTGCCTGACAAGACCCAACACAGCAAAGTGCATTCTTGTGTTTTCATGCTAACCAGCACTTAGAAGAATTCAGCTTTTCTTTTCCTTGTTTTGTCCCCCCACCCTTGAAACCCCTATTGACATACACCTGGCACTCTGTACAAAATACACATGTTCTCCTGCTGTGGAGATGGAAAAGCCAAAGAGAAGGGGAGGAGGCCCAGAAGGATGTGGTGCAGGCATTTTATAATGTATCAAGACACAAATACCAATATCTTATATTTTATAAAACAATATATAAAATGATCTCAATGTTCAATGCTATCATCTATTTTATGTATAAGGTTAAATGAATTTCCCAAAGTCACTCAGCTGCTAAAAACTTGGATTTGAACCCAATTTTCTGAGGCAAATACTGGCTTCTTGTTCCAGAGCAACAGGAAGGGAGCCCCATCCACAACAAATCACTGTGCTCTCCCTCAATGTTTAGATTTCAGAGCCTCTTTTCTTCTCTTTCTTTCTTTCTTTTTTTTTCTTCTGAGACAGAGTCTTACTCTGTTGCCCAGCCTGGAGTGCACTGGTGCTATCTTGGCTTACTGCTCCCCCACTGCCCACCTCCTGCCCCCGGTTCAAGCAATTCTCCTGCCTTACCCTCCCAAGTAGCTAGGACTACAGGTATGCATCAACATGCCTGGCTAATTTTTTTGTATTTTCAGTAGAGACGGGGTTTTGCCATATTGGCCAGGCTGGTCTTGAACTCCTGACCTCAAGTGATCCTCCTGCCTTGGCCTCTCAAAGTGCTGGGATTACAGGCGTGAGCCACTGTGCCTGGCCTCAGAGCTTCACTTCTAAGGGAGGAGCTTGGCCTCTGTTATCTCAAAGTTTTCTTCTCTCAGTACATTTACATGTAAAATTATAAACCTTGAGAGATGGAAGACATCCTTCTAATGGGAAATCAAGCAATAGTTTCTAATTTTTACTAATTTAATTTTTTTTTTGAGTCAAGGTCTTGCTCTGTTGTCTGGGCTGCAGTGCAGTGGTGCGATCATGGTTCACTGTAGCCTTGAACTCCTGGGCTCAAGTGATCCTCCTGCCTCAGCTTCCCAAGTAGCCGGGACTACAGGTATGCACCACCATACCTGGCTGATTTTTTAATTATTTTTTGTAGAGGCAGGGCCTCACTACGTTACCCAGGCTGGTCTTGAACTCCTGGGCTCAAGTGATCCTCCTGCCTCAGCTTCCCAAAGTGCTGAAATTACAGGCATGAGCTATTATGCCTGGCCCTAAATTAATTTTTTAAGTTGGAAACATTTTGTTAGAAAACTTATTTCCTTGAATCAAAAGCCAATCAGAAAAATGAAGAATTATCCAGACACTTTTCTCCTGTCCCAAATAAGAGGTTTGGAACCAGGAAATCTGCATTATCCTCAGCTTGGCTAGTTTTGTATGATTTGGGGAAGTTCTTCCCTCTTTGGAGCCCTGTAAAAGGAGAAGGTTGAACTTAATTATCGGTAAGGTCCCAAAACAGCTCTGATGTGTTATTTTCTTTTTCTTTCTTACTTTTTTTTTTTTTTTTCTGAGACAGAGTCTCACTCTGTTGCTCAGGCTGTAGTGCAGTGGTAAAATCTCAGCTCACTACAACCTCCACCTCCTGGGTTCAAATGATCCTCCTGCCTCAGCATCCCAAGTAGTTGAGAATACAAGTATGTGCCACCACACCAAGCTAATTTTTGTATTTTTAGTAGCGACAGGGTTTCACCATGTCAACTAGGCTGGTCTCAAACTCCTGGCCTCAAGTGATCCACCCACTTTGGCCTCCCAAAGGGATTACAGGCATGCACCACTGCACCTGGGCTGATATGTTATAATGATATGAAAATACAACCAAGAAGATTGCCAGTGGCATCTCCATGGATTGTAAGCTGCAGGTATCTTATCTCAATGCAATATGCTATAAAGAGAAGGGCACTGGGCCTGGAGTTAGACCTGGGTTCTAGTTCTGGTTCTGTCACTAGGTAGGTGACCTAATTTCTGTAAGGCTCAATGCCTTCATAGGAAAATTGGGATTACTGGGTGGCAGAAACCCAGCCTTTGCTGTATTCTTCCTTTGCGTCTTCATTGTTATGCAATAAATTAAAAGAAAAAGTGCAATGATATTAAAACCCAACTCCATGGATTGTTGTGGCTCAAATAAGATAATGTTATCGTAAAGTGGTCCTGTCAACTGTAGAGTGCTATATACATGGAATAATCAGCACCAAAGACAATGCTTGCCAGTGGGCAAGTGGCTGGCAACTACAAGGTCTAACAAAAGGCAACTAGTGGCCTAGTTCCCAAGCTTTGCAGTGCATCATTTTGCTTTCCCTGAGAAACTATTAGCTAATCAGCCCAGGTGCAGACCTGTCTCCTATGGCTTATCTTTACAAAATGCATAGGCTCCATGTTTCAGTCTCAGAAGAAGCACCTGAGAGTGAATTTTAAGAGAATTCCTGCAGGCAGTGGTGTTCTGCCTAAATTTTTATTTTTCCCCCAAAACAAAAAAGCAGGCTGTAAATTTGGCAGTAAATTTCAAGAGCTATAAATCGTTCATAGCCTCTGACCAAGTAATCCCACTCTTGGGAATTTATCCAAAGGAAACATTTAACAGAAGAATAAAACTGTATACATGGAGACATTTGGTTCAGCATTATCTATTACCAAGACAAAACAAAAGCAATCAAACAAAAAACTGGAAAAAGGAAAAGGGCTGAAGAATAGGAGAACTGCTAAGTAAATGATGGTATATGGAAGGGAAGATTCTGGAGACATCAAACAGAACAAATATGAAGGCTATGAAGCAAAATGAAAAAAATGTTTAAATAAAGAGCAGAATATTAAATAATATCTAAGCTGTGATTCCATCTATGCAAAAATTATTTCTTCATATAGAGAAGGGTGAAAGAAAATATAAACGTGAAAATACCTATGGGACTCTGGGATAACCTTTTCCTTCCTTTAAAAATGTCCAGGTTGTGCTCTTTGCATAATAATGTTAAAATGGAATAAGATAGATTTTGTCCTTTGTGAAGCCCTTGAGTAGCTATAACATGATCAAACATCACCTTGCTGATCCTAAATTGAATTAATACTGAGAAATATCCAATTAGATTCATAACCTAGGGAGAGACGCCTTTCTCAGAATAAATAACAGTCCATTGATTTAAACTTTCCCTTCCCTTCAGTGTCTCATGTCTTACATAACATTCAAGATCTCATATTCATCATCAGGATACAGTAACTGAACAATATGCTGGCTGGATTTGGGGAAGGGGCTAATGTGGAACCTTGTAACCAGACTTTCTCATGGCCAAACTCACAGAAGGTGCTGCAGAGTTTTCTCTGCTCTCCAACCAGTTGTGACTGCTCAATAACTATGGCAACCATTATTTATTCAGTGAATTCAAGTGGAGATCGATACCTCCTGCCAGCTGGATCAACTCTAGGCCTGGAATTCCTCGAGGAATTCAGAGACACTCCTGTTAGAAGCCAAAGGCACCTCAACCCTTCTTTGTTGTTTTGAACAGCCACTGGATTTGTAGCTTCTTTACTTTTTCAAAAGGGCTGAGATAATATTCAGTCTCCATGCTAACTACTGCCAGCAGCCAGTAAGATTTTCAAATCACTAGGGAGTCACCAAGTGTCTGGGTCCTTCCCTAGTAATTTGAAATCCCTTAAAACCCAATCACTGACATTTTAGTTAAAGGGATCTCCTTTCTTCTTGTAGCTTGGTAAATATGGCTACGGAGCTGATATACAGAGTTCATAAATTCTGGGGGAAATCGGGCATTTGGACTATCCCCTTTCCTAGAGAATTACACACAGAAGATTTTAGCTTACGGTCTTTGTCCACCACTAAACAAAACAAACTTCTTAGTATTTCTTGCATTTTGATCTATATAATTTTCATAGAATGCTTCAGTATATTAACTCAGGCATTATATAGTCAAAACTTTATAACATACAGAAATGGTTAAGTAATGTATGCATCATCATTGTATAGATAGATTAGAAAGAGTTTGAGTTATTTAGTTCAAATTCCTATCTAAGACAAGAATCTCTACTACAAGCTACTATAAAGAGAGTGTCAGGTAGTGGCTGGACTGGGAGTTAACTATAATATTATGCCATAATAATGTAAATATATTTAATAGCACTTTATATAACACCCTTTTACTTAAGATTATTTTATCTCACTCTCACAACAATCCTGTGAATTAGGCAGGACAAAGATTATCTTTAATTAATAGGTATGGAGGGTAAGTCTCAATTAAATGATGTGCCCATAGTCAAAATTAGCAAGGGGCTATTTTCTTTCACTCCACGTCCAGAGATATTTCTCTTATAACAGGCTGCCTTCCATCTACGGATGTCTCTAATTGTTAGAAAATTTCTCATCCTGAGATGAACTAGCCTTTCTGTAACTCTCTCCTATTTTCTATACACCAAATTAACTAATTGTTTCTTTCAACAAATATTTATGAGCACCTATTCTGTGGCAAGCAATGTTATAACCACTGGGGTTAGAGACTCGACAGACAACAGATCACACTCCTAATCTTTGTGTGGTATGACCATCTAAAGACACCATTGGATTCCTGTGCATTTTAGCTATCCATGCATAGACATCTCTGCTTAGAGTGAGAGAGTGGGGTTGGGGGGGAGGGGGAACCAGGGAAGACGGAGTCAGGGGGAGAGAGTGATGGAATGAAATAATAGAGCTATTTAGGTCTGTGCTCATGTCTTCCCATCTTCATCTGGTTAAGATCTACTCATTCTTTGGATCTCAGATCAAATATTTCTTGAAGGAAGCTTCCCTGTTTACCCCATTCTAGATCATGTTCTCCTCTGGCACTCTAATCTTTCCCTTTGCAGGACAAAACAGTTTGGAATCAGATGTTATATGATTTTTCTTCTCCCATTAATGGTAAGCACCATGGGGGCATGAACTGTATTTGCTCAACATTGTATCTCCAGCACCAAGCCTAGTACATAAAAGACACCCAATCAATATCTGTTCAATGGATACATAAATAGAGGAACAAGGGTCTATAAAAAATGATTATATAAGTACTAAAAATGTAAGTTGCTAAGAACAAATATACAGGTTGGGAGTTATTAAGACGCTAACAACAGTAAAGAACTTTACAAACTCTAGAACCTACCACATCAAAGCTTTGGAATTAGATTTCCTGGCTATAAATCTGAGTTCTACCACTTATTTATTTACTTATTTATTTTTGAGACGGAGTCTCTCTCTGTTGCCCAGGCTGGAGTGCAGTGGTGTGATCTCGGCTTACTGCAACCTCTGCCTCTCAGGTTCAAGAAATTCTCCTGCCTTAGCCTCCCGAGTAGCTGGGACTACAGGCGTGTGTCACCATGCACAGCTAATTTTTGTATTTTTAGTAGAGGCTGGGTTTCACCATATTAGCCAGGCTGGTCTTGATCTCTTGACCTCATTATCTGCCTGCTTTGGCCTCCCAAAGTGCTGGGATTACAAGCGTGAGCCATTGTGCCCAGCCTCTACCACTTATTAACTGGGTGACTTTGGGTCTGTTACCACATTTGTAAAATGGTGCTAATAATGGTACCTGCCCTATGTGTTATGATGAGAAGTAAACGAGTTAATAATATATGTCAAGTATGTGGAACCAGGCCTAGCATATAGTGAGCACTTAGTGAATATTTGCAAGTATCCTCTCTACCTAAAACTCAAGTCATTACCTTCCCCTTCAAATCAGCCACTTATCTGAGCTTGTCTATTAATGATATTACAGCTTTTCCCATCACTCTCATAATCATCTCTAACAATTCCTTCCCCCATCCATCATATTTAATCCATTGTAAGAACTTCAGTTCTTATCTCTATGATGTTCCTTGCATTTATATCTTCCTGTCAATACCCATAGTCTCTGGACCAGGATCTTCAATATCTGTGCTATCTAGATCATTTTAGCAGCTCTCGACTGATCTCCATGCTTCCTGTATCTGCTGTTAGACCTACCTAACCAGAATCTGCAATGCAATAAGATGTCTGGTGCTGTGAATGGTGGCGAAGCTCTGCTCTAGTCAATCCTAGTCCTCATAAGATGCTCGACTCAGTCCACACCTAGTGTTCATCTCATCTCCATAAACCTCATTCCCCAAGGCAGGAACTCATTCCTCAAGGCAGCTTATTCCAATTTCAAATGGTTCTTTCTATGATAAAGTTTTTCTTATATTGAGCTAAAATTTGCCATTCTACATATCAGGGGTCCCCAACTGGTTTCTGTCCATGGCCTATTGGGAACTGGGCCACACAGCAGGAGGTAGTAGCAGGCAAGCAAGCAAAGCTTCGTCTGTATTTACAGCCACTCCCATCATTTGCATTACTGCCTGAGCTCCACCTCCTGTCAGATCAGTGGCGGCATTAGATTCTCATAGGAGCGTGAACCCTATTGTGGACTGCACATGTGAGGTATCTAGGTTGCACACTCCTTATGAGAATCTAATGCCTGATGATCTGTCACGGTCTCCCATCAAGCCCAGATGGGACACTCTAGTTGTAGGAAAATGAGCTCAGTGCTCCCACTGATTCTACATTATGATGAGTTATACAATTAATTTAATTATATATTACAATGTAATAACAGAAATAAAGTACACAATAAATGTAATGAACTTGAATCATCCTGAAAACATTCCCCCAACCCCAGTCCATGTAAAAATTATCTTCCATGAAACCAGTTCCTGGTGCCAAAAATGTTGGAGACTGATGCTATATGTATTTTCCAGTTCTGCCTCTTGGGCTTAGATGAGAAATGTCAAATTCTCTTCTTTGCAGGGAGTAGGGGATAAAGAAAGGGATGATAGTAACCATCAGGAGCCCCACCAAGGGGAAAAGTAACTCCCCTTTCTGAGCAGGTCTTAGGGCAAAGGCTAACTTGGTGACAACAATACAGTTCCAGCCAAAGGGGCAGGAAAGGTGGGCCCCTGGAGAGAGGTATATGTAACTCAAACACCAACAAACAGAACTCCCAGCTCTGAGCTCTACAGCTTTCTCTGGGAATTCACCTTGCTGCTACCACTCATGTCATATACAACATCCTTTACTGATGGGCAGTCCCAGAGACATTGAGCCCATGCTGGTCAGGAAGCCACAAGTCAGTTGGCAGTCTGTGTTGAGGCTGATTTAAATGGTACTTTTCAGTCTATCTTTGATTTGGTAGAGTATGTGTCTGTCTCTCTCTCCAGTGAGATCACAGACTCTTTAAAGGTAAGGGATTGTGTCTGGTGCACAGTAGATGCTCAATAAATATTTACTGAATTAATCTGAATCAAAATAAGGCAATTCTCAAGAATTCATACTTTTCTGATAACTGTGGTAGGTGAAAAATAATTAATTCAGATTTTTCTAACTTGGGAGACTTTCTGATACAATTGGCCCATTCATTCAACGAATATTTGCCATATGCCAGATACTTGTAAATGCTAAAGTAATTTTAAAGCTAAATAAGACTCTCCCTGTCCTTAAGAACCCCACAGTCTAGTTGGTAAAGAAAGACACAAATAAATTCCTTAATACAATGTGTATATTCAATGGCAGGGATGTATGAACACTTTTATGGATTCTTAGACAGCAAGACAGCTGGCTCTTCATGGAAGTGTGTAAAACAAATAATACAATAATAACAATGAAGGTTTGTCTGATTTTTTTTCTCTGCATAGTATACATTAGTTCATTCAATCTTTATAAGAAACCTGCAAGTAGACATCTTTATCCCTGTGATAAACTAGGAAATGGAGATTCAGAGAGGGTAAGGAACTTGTCCAAGATTGCAAAGACAGCACATTTCAGGGTAAAGACCTGAACTCAGATCTCCAGTCTCTAAATCCTGTGGCCTCTCTCTTCTCCCACCTTTTTTGTTCTTAACTATTCTGCCCTGTTACATTTTACATTTAGTTTTCCTTGCAATGTAGCTGACAGCTTTATTTGATGCAAAAGCAGGGGTAACCAGGTAACCATTTAGAGTGAGCTGTGGAGCTCTGGAAAGACAGATGGCGGAGGGTGTGGCACAGTCAGCCACCTGTCTAGTCCTGCTGTGTCACTGTGTCACTGCTTTCTGCCCTCGGTTCTGCTGTCCTTCCGCCTCCTCAGTCTTAGAGGTCATGTTTCAACATGACCAGGAAAAAGATGACAGGCAGAAGAGAAAGGAGTCATTTTCTCATCTGACAGATGACCTGAGTAGGGAAAAGAAATCCATGGGGAACAGCAAAATGGCATTTGAGCACTCGAGATTCCCTCCGCCATCTAGTTCAAAACTACCTTTCCAATCTTATTTCCCCTATTTCTGTGCAGGAAATGCATTTTTCTGTGAGGTTAGGTTATCATATCAGGCCAGAATTATCACACAGAATTAGTTTTATCCCTGAAAATCCTTTAACTTTCCCAAAAGCATAAGACATGTTCTCAGCATTTATCACCAGAGGCAGAGAAACCATGACCGGTAGTGGATTCATATCTTCTCTGTTAAGCTCGCTCCAGGACATACAGTCATCAAATGTAATAACCTGCACTCTTAATTTTTCTCCTCTTGCTACTTGGATCATATGTGTGATTTTAACATATGCATAATGTAATTCCACTGTAATTGTTTTACCCCTTAAGTGTACTGAGGCATTCAACTGCCATGCCCTTGCTATACTCTTTCCTTCATCTGGAATGTTCTTTATATCTTCCATGTCTAGATGCTACCTCTTTGGGAAGCCAGTCATGACCAACACTTCTACCTTCCTTCACCTCAAAAAACTTAGCAGTAATCTGGACTTCCCCCACACTGCATCTGTCCCTTTTCAGGACCTAAGCACTAATCACTAACACATCAAGTTCATATATCATAATCTATGGCTTCCTAGTAGGCTACCCACTTCCTGGCAGAATGCATGCCTAGCTCATCTTTGCATCCCTAGGGACTGTCACAATGCTTGGTACACAGTAGGCCCTCAATGCTTATTTAATGAATGGATATTTATGAAATAAATTCCACACTTTCTGTTTGGTGGTGGTGGTGGGGGGCTTCTTATTTATCAACTCATTGGTATCCCATCAGAATCAAAGCACTTCCATTACTTCAGAGACACAGCACTGGCAAAAGGCAATGGTTAGGGTAGATAAACAGGGAATCTAAAAAACGTTTGAAAACCAACCATTGTGGGGAAACCCCCTATTTACTGCAGGAAAAGAGAGTGATCTGATTGAAACCATTTCCTGCCCCACTTCACCACCTAGTTTTTCTTAAGGGTGTACAGAGAGAGGAGGAGGACAAAGAAAAAAGAATCAGAAAAAAAAAAAAAACAAAAAAAACGTGTTTGTGTAAACTACCAATACTGACCAGATTCTTAATACTTTTCCTGGAAGCAAGCCTATTTAAACTTCTAAGATGCCATTTCCTTTTCATGAGCTCTCCTCTGTGGTTTAAGAAAAGACTATTTTGGGATGAATTTTCTAATGTAAATAGCCCAGCTGATACTCCACAATGACCCTTTATCATCAACGAAGCTTATTCAGAAGTCTAGATCCATGGCAGCTCATATTCAAATGAAAATTAACATCCATAGCAATGCACAGTTTCCCAAGCATCGCCTTTTCGGCCATTTCCTGATTTTCACACATATTAAATCCACTTTCAACCAGTAAATCACAAAGAGAGTGTTTTAAGGTCCAGAAATGAGACAAGAGAGCCTAAAATTTGTTGTAGGCTAAAACCTACAACAGGAACGAGGGCAGGAACAGGAGATACCTGGTCCAGGAGGCCCCAAGACACCACTGTAGAGCACTTGGCCCATTGTAAGTGCTCGTTAAATGCAGCTTAATTACTTTAATATCACTGTACTCCTTTGAGCCTCTCTTTCAAGTATCCATGGAGACTGACACCAAACATACTACCTTCTAAAGCCACCACCTGTTTCCTTATGCTATTGAGTTTGATGTTTCCAAGGGGCAGGGGAAGGCATATGCCTAACTTGAGGGAATCTGTCACTATTACTCCAAGGGGGACCACAGGTGAATTCAGAACTGCCTATCCTGAATCCAGTTTGGTTACACTGCCAACTGAATTTTCTGTAATCCTCACTGCTGCCCTATGGAATAGACATGGTTATCCTCATTTTACAAGTGGGGAAACTGAACTTCAGGGAACTGAAACGTGTTACCCAATAGCACCTACTTATTAAACTTGGGGCCGAAGATTAAAATCTGGGAGTGCTCGATTCCAAAGTCCACGCAATTTCTGCCATGCCAAACTGCCTCCTCCCACAGCCAATCTCCACATAAATGGGCAGCGGGCTAAGGAGCTATAACTGCAGGGCATAGAACAAACGGGATGCAGAAAGAGGACTGGCACCACCCTTCTCCTAATTTCTACTCTGTATTCTCTGTACTGAGCTGCCCAGTCTCTCCGGGGTGGGTCTTCCTGGAACCCACACGTCCTGGCCTCTTATATATCTACCAATTTCTAATTAAAGAGTGAAATGAGGATGTGGGCTTCAGGGATGGGCCCTCCTCTTGAATCATGGCTCTCACACCTGAACTGGCCTTTTTCCTCTTAGATTCTTCCCCATTCTAATCTGTGCCCAAAACGCACTTGACAGGGTAAATCTTTTAAAATGCAAAACTGACCATCAGGCTCCTTTGGTCAAAATTTGTGGATCCTTGTTGTGCTCAAGATAAATTCTGCTCCCCTCACCTAGGCATGGAAGGTTCTTCATGTCCCACCCCACCCTGACCTATCAGACCAGTCACATCTCCTGTCATTCCATTTTTCGGCTGTTTCCTTTCTGAAACATAGCCATATTTTCAATGGCTTTTGGCAAATGTTTATTTATGCCTAGATTCTCACTTTTTCCATTTTAGCCAGGAGACATCTTCTGCATTTACAGAGGACCAGCTCCTGTGATCTCTTCTTAGAGGACCACCCAACCTGCTGTCTCTGAGCACTTTGAACTCACTCCCTTGTCTCCACGGTGGCACTCAACACCTTGCATCACATGTAGTACTTTGCATGTCTATCTCCTCTAGGGATGTGTGTTATCATCTCTGAAAAACCTAATAACATGCAGCATGGTGCCTAAGTCAGTGAATATTTGCTGATTAACTAGACTCAACACTCATTCCCATAGAGATGAGGCAATGAACGCCTTTACTTACAGGAATCTGAAGCTGGATCTAGATTTTGTTTTTGTCTTTTTAAAATGAACTAAACTCCAAACTTTCTGGTTTTGAATGTTTAACTGACGTAGGAATTGCTGAATGGTTTTGAAATTGAGCTAAAGAGCTTTAGTTCAAAGGTAGCCTTGAACCAGTTTCCTTCCAGTCCCGATGAAGTAATAAGCTTGTGCCTTAAATCTGTTTATTTTATTCAGATGCTCCCGTATGCCATTTGAAAGCCCTCCAAATGGAATCCATACTCTTTGAGACTGCCTTGGTTTTTGTTTTGTTAATGACTCTCTGGGAAGTCTAGCAGCCCCATTAAAAAAAAAAAAAAGTGACTTTCTCATCCTGGACCAAAGACCAGAAGGAAGTCAGTTTCTATTTGGAATACTGAAGGAACAGCTAGTGTCTGAATCCTCACTGCAACCATGCCGTTTACTTGTCTTTGCCTTCATGTTAACCATCAAATTGTGAACCAGCCTAGCTTCTTAAGGCACACAGACACATCACATCTAACTTTAGCTAAGAAGACATGTCCCAAGAAATGCATGTAAACAATGCCTGGGCAAACCAATGGAATATTCCAGTGAAGCAGAAAAAAGGGGCCATCTGTACCAGAGGATGCATTTGGTGCTCTGGAAACTCACTGTCTGCCTGAAAAACATGTTTTCTACAGCCAAGGGCATATTAATCTGATCTTGAACTCTCAGTTCAACAGCAAGCCTGTGCTTGTGTCTGACCAAAAGGACAAGGATGAGCCCTTCATTTGCACTTCTGGAGCACTCACCCTCTGTCACCGCTTCCCCAGGCCCCAGTCTGACTCAAAAGAATGAAGTCTAACAGGACCCTCTGAAAGGATGAAAGGGCAAAGGGAGCTGGGGCCAGAGCCTCCATGGCCACAAGGAGATGGTATTCCATCCCTTGCCCAACATGCACCTTCCTCCATCCCACCCCACCTTGGGATTCTTTATCTCCCAAAAGATAGAAAGAGAGAGACGTATAGAGGGAGACAGGCATAAATCAAATATGTTTTATGCTTACAGTTAAAAAACTGTTGAGTTGGCTGGGTGCAATGGCTCACACCAGGAATGCCAGCACTTTGGGAGGTTAAGGCAGGCAGATCATTTGAGGTCAGGAGTTCAAGACCAGCATAATGGAACCCCATCTCTACTACAGATACAAAAATTAGCCAGGTGTGGTAGCAGGCACCTGCAATCCCAACTACTCAGGAAGGTGAGACAGGAGAATTGCTTAAGCCCAGGAGGCAGAGGTTGTAGTAAACTGAGATTACATCATTGCACTTCAGCCTGGGTAATGGAGCGAGACTCCACCTCAAAAATAATAATAACATTAAAAAAATAAAAAACTACTGAGTTGAGCCATTTTTGCTTTTTCTCAGTCCTTTGACAATCAAATTTATTAAATCAAGTTGTATCTGATATGTCTGTAGTTTTTTTGGTTTACTTTAGGTTGCTAGCCAAGAACTGGGGAGAGGGGAAGCCTTATCACCTCTGCTCCACAGGAATGGGCTGGTTAAGGTAATCTTCCTAGGAAAGGCTTTGTAAAAACAACTCTGAACCAGTCTGGACAACAGGGTGAAACAGGGCTACAAAACAGCCAAGTATGTCTGGTGGCACGTGCCTACAGTCCCTACTACTCAGGAGGCTGAGATGGGAGGTTCACTTGAGCCCAGGAAGTCGAGGCTACACTAAGCCATGATTGTGTCACTGCTCTCCAGCCTGAATGACAGAGCAAGACCCTGTCTCAAAACAAACAAACCCTGAAGCAGCTAGTCCCACTGTCCACAGATCTCTGGTGTAAACTTAGATTTTCATATATTGGGCTTGTTGACAATAATAATTCAATAGACTAGGGATTCTCTTTCCTAGAAGTTTATGATGACACATTATAGATGCATGTTTCTTTGCTTAAACTTGGTTAAACTTAACAGATTTTGGAAAAATGGTAGTAATTTTCCCGTTTTCTGGTGTATGTGGTGGTCAAGGCCAGACTCCACCATAACAAAGGGAAGGAGAGAAATGAAGATGCAGTTCTGGCAAGGTGGTGCTTACCTGTGATCATGCTCAGTGCTGACAGGCAGGCTAAGGCTTGGATATCAAGGTTCAGGCTCTGCAAATTTAAGGAAAAGTCTTTAATAGAGTCGAGCCACTCCCCAAATCCACGAAGGCACTGAAGTCGATGCAGGACAAGTCCATTGCAGAATACAAACTTATCTTCAGCAGTGTTTGACCTGGCAGGTGAGAGGAAGAGACACATTAAATAGTTCTGTCCAGTCTGTCCAACATGATAACATGACATACAGGCACCCAAACAGCCATGGAGCAGCACTGGGACCCCGGTGCGGTGCTATGAAGCATGCCCAGATACCCGAAATGAACAAGACTATGTTCTCCAGGATGAACAACTATCACCACTTGCCTATGCTAGTATCTTTGGTGAACATCAGCCCAGGGGAAGATACGGGCTGTGGCACCGGCTGTCTTATTACTGGAATCAATTATTGGCTTTCCTTGGGACAGGACATGGGGGAGCAGGCACTCATGGGTTACGGAAGTGAAGCCCAGTTCACCCTCTCTCTCAGCAATGACCATGAGACTGTTCCTTCCAGGGCTCCTGAGACAGAGCTTGTCCTTGATTTTCTTAAATGTTAAAAACTGCCAAGCCCTGAGGCTAGACACTACAATTCCATTGTGCAGACTTTAAAAATACCAAGTCCTTGGCCGGGTGCAGTGTTTCACGCCTATAATCCCAGCACTTTGGGAGGCCAAGGTGGGTGGATCACCTGAGGTCAGGAGTTTGAAACCAGCCAGGGCAACATGGTGAAATCCCATCTCTATTAAAAATACAAAAATTAGCCAGGCTTGATGGCACGCACCTCTAGTCCCAGCTACTCGGGAGCCTGAGGCAGGAGGATTGCTTAAAGGCGGGAGGTGGAGGTTGCAGTGAGCTGAGATCATGCCACTGCACTCCAGCCTAGGTGACAGAGTAAGACTCTGTCTCAGAGAAAAAAAACAAAACAAAAACAAAAACAAAAAAAACCCCAAGTCCCTGCAAGTGCCAGAAGTCAATCACAAACAGAAGGGTGGCCTAATGTAAAACAAGTCCTTATTTTGTATTACCTTCTCTGCTTTTAACATTGGGGCTGCAGAGGGCTATTTCTAAATCTGTCCTGATAGTTTATATTATGTCCATCATCATCTCCTTCTTTCATGGAAGATGCCCTGGAATTTCCAGTGGGACATCAAGACTTAGGGGTATGGCTTTGGGTGCTTCTTAAATCTCTCTGGACTTCTTTTTCCTTAATTATAAAACAAAAATTCTAATTGCTACCTCCTAAGATTGTTGAGGGAATTAAAGAAAAGATTTGAAAGCCCATGGTGCCCAGTACACAGGCTGGTTCAACAAATATTGGGTATAACAAGTAATGAGCTGAATTCTATGTGGTCCTTCCTTTAATCTTCGATTTCCTTTAACTTTCAAATCTCTTGCCACATATTTATCTATCTTGGCCTGTTGTATTCACAAGTCAGATATCTCTTTGTGCTTCTTGGATAAATAGCTTCATTCATTCCTTCACTCAGCCAAGTGTCTAATGAGCATGAAGTATGTGTCATTCCTGGAGCCAGGCACTGGAGAAAACTTGGTGAATGGGACATATATGGTACCTGCCTGCATGGAGCTTATAGTGTACTCAGTCCTTTGTTGCATGTCTAATAGATGACAGTCACATTGCTGGCTCAGCTCTGGTGTATACTGCATTGGCTACAAATTAAGCTATTACTGGCGCTCTAGTTGTAACTCCACCCAATCTCTCCTACTGATCCCTTGACAGAAGGCAGAGACAGGACAGAATGATTCAGTCTCAGAGTTTAAAACATGGACCCTGATGACTGGCATCAGAATAGTTAAAAGCATCAGTTAAAAATGCAGACTTCTGGACTTCTCCCACAATCTACCAAACCAAAATACATGGCAATGAGGCCTGGCAATCTGCACTTTAAAAATTAAATGGGAGTTTCTGGTAACAATATGAAACTGGGGAGGGGATGGCAGGAAAGAGAAAGAGGGGAAAGATGGATTTTTCTGATAATATTTGGTAAAAAGTTGGTATCTCTCCTAAAAATATATAACTAAAAGGAAGCAAGGAACATGAGTTAAACAGGTTATATGTAAATAAAAACAGTAATGAAATAAACATTAAAAAGTCTACATGTGGAACTTACTAGAGGAGCTTAGATCCAAGGTTCTATCTTTTTGAAAAAAATCACTTTTCCTTTTTCTGTTTGGTGTCACTGAGTATGACAGGATGGACTAAATCTTTCAATCTAAGAGTGTTCTCTTGGAATAAAACTGGGGTTAAGAAGCTGTGGGAACTCTTTAGGGTCCCATCAGGTGTGCTATAATAGTAACTTGTTAAACAGAAACCCACGAGGTAAATACAATGTTCCAAAGCAAACACTTGCTCCCAGGAAATAGCTTATGCACCATGAGAATCCTTCCAGAATCATAGAATGTTGGAGCTGCAAGGGACTTCAAGAGATCACCAAATCCAACCTCTTCCTTTTAAGGAGGAGGGAACTGAATTTCTGGTCATGCAAATGACCTGCTCAGGGTGTGACAACAAGTCCACATTAGAACTGGGACTAGAAGCCAGGGGTCCCGGTGGCAAGCCTAGTGCTCGTTCTATGACTCGCTGCTTAGTTTTTTTAATGCCTGATCATATTTCACATTTGCTTCTTGAGAAGACGTTTCACCAGTGATTCAGTTACAAACACAGAAGGTTTCAGGCTTCTTCAAAGAAAGGAGTAGACGGAAAATAAAATAGTAGTAATTACCTGATGGAAAGTCTGAGGACAAACAGCTCCAAAAAGGCTGATTCAATAAGTAATGTCTGATCTTCTTTGGGGAGATCAGTAAATCCCGGAATCTTTTCTGCCCAGCTTCTGGATACATCAATGGAGGCTGTCAAGAGGTTGTAGAATTGCTGCACATGCTCAGCATCTGTGCCTGCAGCAGCCTGGTCAGTGGGACAGTACTAGAATGCAAACCAGAGAGAGCAGCATTATCCTGCTTCAGTGGGGATAATGGCATCAATTGCAAACAGGCCATTCCAAGACCATCAATGCCTAAATTCTTCCTTTTAGGTGTCACAGTTTATAAAACCCCCTTCACATTCACAGTCTCATCTGATTCTTACAATGGCCCTCTGATACAAATACAGCAAATTTTATTGTTATCACTTAATAGACAAATTTGCTTAAGTCAAATTAGCAAAGCGGTTTTCACCCTTGACAGTGCAATCACCTAGGAAGCTTGAAGAAACAACTCTCATCTGGGTCCTGCGCCAAGAGATTCTCATTTAATTGGTCTGGGGTGCAGCCTAGGGGTCAAGAATTATAAAAGCTCCCCTGGTAGCTCCAAAGTGGGATAGCCCAGTTGACAACTACGGCCCCAGCATTTTGTGTCCAAGTAGATCTCCAGGTCTACTGCTTATTTCACTACAGCACAGCTGTCTCCCCATGAGATGCTAAATTAACCCAGTGGTTCTCAAAGTGTGAAACACACACACCCAGGAATGTGTTAGAAATGACAGTCTCGGCCAGGTGCGGTGGCTCATGCCTGTAATCCCAACGCTTTGGGAGGCTGAGGCGGGTGGATCACCTGAGGTCAGGAGTTCTAGACCAGCCTGACCAACCTGGTGAGAACCGCCCCCCCGCCCCACCAACCACCATCTCCACTAAAAATACAAAATTTAACTGTGTGTGGTGACATATGCCCATAATCCCAGCTACTTGGGAGGCTGAGGCATGAGAATCAGTTGAACCTGGGAGGTAGAGGTTGCAGTGAGCCAACATCACATCACGCCACTGCACTCCAGCATGGGTGACAGAGTGAAAAAAAAAAAAAAGAAGTGACAATCTCAGGCCCTACCACAGACCTACTGAATTAGAAACTCTTGGGGTAGACCCACCAAACATTAAAAAAATTTTTTTTTTGTAGAAATGGGGGTGTGAGTTGGGGGTGGGTATCATTGTGTTGCTCAGGCTGGTCTTGATCTCCTAGACTTGAGCAATTCTTCTGTCTCAGCCTCCCAAAGTACTGGGATTATAGGCATGAGGCACCATGCCTGGTCCACCAAACTGTTTTATCAAGATCTCCAGGTGATTCTCATACACAGTAAAGTTTGGGAATCGCAGAAATAATCAGTAAGAGAAAGAATGATTTTTGCTTGCTGTTGATGGATTTCTGTGAGATAAAACAAACCAGGAAGTGGTGGAAGGGGCGGTCTCCTTGGCAGAACCCAGGCAGCTGTGTGCCATCAGACTCAGGACTCGTGGCTATTTAAGTTAATAAAAACTAAATGAAATTAAAATTTCAGTTCCTCAGTCAGGTTAGCCATATTTCAAGTGTTCAACAGCCAAATGTGGGAGAGAATATTTCCATCACTGAGGGGAGGTCTATTGGACAGTATTGATCTAGAGTCCCAAGAGCAAGAAGATATAAGTAGGAATAAAGTCTTCACCCAGCTTTCCAATATTCTGGTAGAACCAGGGTTTGTTTCTAATCACTGGTGGAAAGACTTTTCTGCTGCAGGCAGGAAGATTGATACAGTGATACTAATCAAGGGACAACCAACAACATAGAGATTTAAGAGATTATGCAGAAACACTCACGTAAATAGGCACATCATTTCCTTCACATTAACATGGCTGTGTATCATTTTGCATCCCTTTTCTGAATTGATCCTCATGGGGTAGGGATTTTAATCTTTATTTTACAGATGAGAAAACTGAGGCTCAGAGAAGCTAAGAGACTTTCTCAAGTTACACAACCAATAGTGGCAACAGCCAAGACTTACACTGACCCTGTGATTTCAAGTTTTATCCCTCTTAGCTGTTAAGCATGTTCTGATGTTACTAGCTGGTGGGATCATTTATGAAATATTTTTTTTGAGACGGAGTCTCACTCTGTTGCCCAGGCTTGAGTGCAGTGGTGCGATCTCAGCTCACTGAAGCCCCCACCTCCTAGGCTCAAGAGATTCTTGTGTCTCAGCCTCCCGAGTAGTTGGAACTACAGGCACGTGCCACCATGCCTGGCTAATTTTTGTATTTTTAGTAGAGACAGGGTTTCACCCTGTTGGCCAAGCTGGTCTCCAAATTCTGAACTCAAGTAATCCACCTGCTTTGGCCTCCCAAAATGCTGAGATTACAGGTGTGAGCCATCATGTCCAGCCTATGAAATCTTTAAAAAGCATTTTGTTTTACTCTCATTGGAGCTCTCCAGGTATGTATTCATTGGTCCTATGTTTCTGTCAACAGTACAGTGACTGGCACATAAACCTCAATAAATAATTGTTGACTATTTTTTCAATGAAAGAGTAGTCAGAAGAGTGCTTAGGTTTGCTGTAATACCTTAACCTGGTTGGAGGAGAAACAGCTAATAAGCAACTAGGTGCTTACTGTGGAGCTACCTAGTGTGAGGAAATGAGACACTTATTTAATTGGGTCTTTTTTTGTGTTTTCCCAAGAAACAGTATTAAATAACTTAGAAAAAAATCAGAGAGTCCAGCTACTTTAATCTCAATTTTGTTCTGGCCCCTAATATGTGAAATAATGTAGCATCATTTTACTTTTCTGAATCTCAGTTTTCTCCTCTTAAAATGGGGATAATACCTTCCTCAAAAAAATTTTTTTTTGAGCCAGGGTCTTACTCTGTTACCCAGGCTGGGGTACAGTGGTGTGTGATCACAGCTCACTACAGCCTTGACTTCCCTAGCTCAAGTGATCCTCCCACCTCAGCGTCTTGAGTAGCTGGGACCACAGGCAGGAACCACCATGCCCGTCTAATTTTTTCTATCTTTTGTAGAGACAGTGTCTTACTATATTGCCTAGGCTGTCTTGAACTGCCTGGCCTTCCTCAAAATTTTGTTGTGATGATTAAATTTGGTAATATGTGAAGGGCCTGATATATAGTACATGATTAACAAATGACAGTGATGATATTGAAAACAGTTATGGTATCTGAAACTATTGCCATCCCTCAGCTTCTATATTTATGAAATGGAATGGACTGAAGTAGAAAGTTTTTTATTTTCAGCCCTGATGTTCTAAGATCCCATAACATCTGGTTCAGTTCAGAGCCCTGGCTCCTCTGTTCCCAACAATCCTACACAGTGCCTGGGATTCTATGAAGTCCTGAATATTCTGTGATGTCACAGACCATGGGAGCAAAGTCCAGGAGAAGGAAGCAGTTCTCCTTCCCAAGGATATTTAAGGATGGCGGCACGATCCTATGTCATAGACACTTCCCACTACCTCCTTTTGGCATACAGACTCTTAACTGGAAGAGAGTGGGAAAAAGGGAATTAACTTTTTTGTTTTTTACTTTCTTCTTACTTATGAATCTATTTAATAATTTCATAGATTCTCCAAGAGCAGATTGAAATTCAGGGCAGACCCTTCCTTTCAAAAGCTGAGGGAGTTACTTGTGAAACTCCCAAATGAGTGGGAGTAAAGGAAAGTATGTTGGACCAAGCAGCAGGTCATGGGGTCCTTGTCCAGGCTCTGCACTGACTTGCTGTGCAGTTCTAGACAAGTCACTTAACCTCTCTGAGTCGGTTTCAGCCTCTGGAACAGGAATCAAGTGTACTAGCTGATCCCTAAGATTCTTTCTGGCTCTTGCATTAAATGATTCTAAATATTACTAAATAACACCAGGTATGATGTTATTGCCTGGAACTTGACACTGATTCAGCATTATTTTGTTTTAAAATAGTGGGTTAAATGGAAAGAAAAAGACTAAAGAATGAATAGTTTCCCCTGAGAATGGATCTGACAGCTACCTCCTGCACTGACTCCTCTGAATCCATGGCTCACAACTCAACAATTTCTCTGCTTCCATTATTTGTTCAGAATCCACCAGAGCACATAGCGTTCACACAGGGTCCTCTGCAGGCTTCTGCCCCTGCTGGGCTCACATTTCATGCCTCCTGCACACAGGGAAGTGAAGTCCCTGCCCGCCTTGTGTGTGTACTTTTCTCTGATGGAGCACAACAAGAAGGAAAGCCAATCAGCCGGGCCTGCCAGACTCCAGACAGATCCTCTGGGCTTCACCTGCAGTAGTTTTGGTCCAAGTCTCAGAATTATGGAGCCAAACTGAATTCAGCCTGAGCCACCAGTAACTTGGGGGTGACTGGAGGGTCAGGATCCAATGCTGGAGGAAAAGAAAAATCTCCTCTATTGGAGAAAAGATTTAAAGGAATGGAACAAAACATTTTATTCTTTCTCTGCCTGGCCTACCAATTTAGAAAACCTCACTCAATGAATACTGGTCCTAGAGTTAGAAGAACTGGGCCCCCAGCTATGCTTCTCTGCTGCCCTACATTGATTGTGCTATCTCTGGGCTAAGTGGGTTTCAGTGTTTGAAAAAGAAAATCTAGAAATATTTGCTTACTGCTTATGACAATCAAACATAGGTCAAATGCAAAAAAAAAAAACAACAAAAAAATCTTTAAATGGAGTTTTTTCCTGTTAATGCTCATTTTTTTCCAGCCTTATAGGGGTTATTGATTTGTCAGAACTCTGGCTTTCTCACTAGTCAAAGACACGGTATTACATTTACTGACAGCCAATGCCTAAAGAAGGTTTCTCTGAAGCACCTAGAATGAGAATCTAGAGCTGCAAACAACAGCAATGGATATTATTTAAACAAAAATGGGTCTGCATGTTTCATATGGCAGTAACACAGCTATATGAGTCAAACTTCAGCAACAGCCCAGGCCCAAAATGAGATATTTGTGTAGAAATTAAGTGAGGCCCATGGAAAATACCACCCCTCAAAAATTAGTGATGTGAGGCTTTAATAGCAGAGTGGAATCTAATATTTACTCTATTTCACTTTCAGCCCTGGCTAAATATGTAGCCTATGCTAAGAACACATTTTCCTTCCCTTAAAATGTTACTTTTCTCAATTCTTTATAGCTCTAAAAATTTTAGATGTGATCATTACGTAGGTCAAACTACGTATACATATTCTTAGACTCTTATACTTTAAAAAGTGACATTTAAAAAATTGGCAATGAAAACAATTCTCAATGAATATATTTTATTTCCCCCCCCAATTTTTTCTTTTCTGATCTAATTCTATGCTCCCCACTCCAAAAAGCAAAAAGCAAAAAACTCCTCTCCTCCCACCAATGACATCACTGCAGTTGTATGTTTGTTTACTTTTTCTCCTTTACTGGTATGTAAGGTTCATGTGGACAAGGCTTTGTCTTGTTCAGCAATGTGTCCATTGCCCTGGACAGTGCCTACTACCAGGTAGCCATTTAATCAATATTTGCTAAATGAATTAATTGCTTTCAAGAAAATTTATATCTCTATTGTTCATCCCTTCTCAACCCCTGGAAAAGCTGGAAAATTCAAGGTAAAATTGAGTTGTTATTATAAACTATATCCATGGCTCTCAAACCTTAGTGTGCCAAAGAATCATCCGATGGCACCTTTTAAAATACAGATTTTTGCCTGCCTCCCCTTCTTCCCAGTTCTGTTTCAGTATGTCTGAGTGGGTGTGGCCTGGGAATCTGCATTTTAAAGCAAATACACCAGCTCTTTTTGGTAGAAGCAGTCTGGGCACCATGTTTTAGGAAATGCTGACCTGTACCCATAGTGGAACTATAGCTTAATATTATGGACAGAAGATCAGGGAATGAAGGTTAGAGGAGATCATGGGAATGAATTTAGTTTAACCTCTTTACCATTTGGATCAGGAAACTGTGGCCCACACAGGGACAGGAACTGGCCAGAAATCATCTAGTAAATTGGTAACAGTTTGAGAGGATCTTCTGAGATGCTTTATGAAACCACTCCTTTTGCAGTTTCATTCTGCTTACCTTGTAGATCTAACCTGTCTTAAGCCACATTGTATCATAGGCTATCTTGTTAACACATTTAAATGCCATTTGCTGATGCCTGGTTTTATCTGGTCAGTATCTCTCGTATTTGCAAGTCTGTTACTACATTAAGTGGCACTGATTACCAGAAAGCATCCTAGTATGCTGAAAAATACTTGAAATGATCAGCTAATGAAGGTACTAAGTATGTTTTCTCATTAGTAATAGTGCAGGCTCTGAAGCCAAGCCCAGTATCTATACAGACTTGTACTGCTAAATTAAAAGCAACTGTGGGGCAGAGAATAGCAACATTTTGAGGAGAGACAAATCAAACCTGACATATTTTGACTGCACTGGTGTACAATGATCTGAGCTCACTTTTAAGGGAGAGAAGTTTGGCCCAAAGGAGAAGTGAAGGTCCCAGAGCCAGGAATGCTTCACAGAACTCAGGAGCTCTTTCTGGCCTCTAAAACATTCATTCCCTCTGTGACTTGGAACAAAACCCCTCCACCTCCCATTCCCACAAACAGAGAAAACTGCTCACTTACTACCTTAAAGGAACACATGCTGGTACATGAAGATTAAAACATACTGGGCTGGCAACACATTTCTTTCTTTTTCTATTGACCTGACTCATTGGGGGAAGCTAGCATCTTTAATAAATTGTAGGGCTCAAATCAACTCTCAAACTTGACAGGGCAAATTCTTATTTAGCATGTAATAAATTATGGATACACACTAAAACACTGCTAAGGCGTGGAATCAGGCAGCTATAAATGAAGCAGAGAGTTTCGTTTTTCATTTTATCCACCTCAGAATGGTTTGCCTTCAAAAAAAAAAAAACCCAATGGATGTATATATATATATATATATATATATATATATATATATATATATATATATTATTGTAATTTAAAGTTTCTATGTTCAAAAATATAGTACATCATCATTAAATAAAAGTGGCAGTATGATGAAATAGGAACATATTACTTTGAGTGATGAGATCTGGATCTTGCCCTCTACTCTGTCACTGACATTAGGCAAGCCAGTTAACCCCTTTAATCCTCACTTTACTCTTCTCAAAATATGGGAGTTGGATTAAACAATCCAAAGGTCACCTCCAGTTCTATGAATTTGTAAATGTAAAATTTTAAGAAGGAAGGTATTATGAAAATTGAATTTTGGTGAATGACAGTATTAAGAAAATTAAACCATAAATTGTACCACACAGAGCTGGAATCTTAAGTGAAATTATTTAAGAATATATGTGATGGTCAGCAAAGGAAATAATTTAAAAAGTGAAAGCCCACAGAATGGGAGAAAATATTATCAAAGTATCCATCTTACAGGGATTAATAACCAGAATATATGAGGAATTCAATGCAATAGCAGAAAAGGATTCTGTTTAAAAAATATGTAAAAAACCTAAATAGACATTTCTTAAAAGAAGACACAGAAATAGCTAACAGCCAATTTTTGTTTAAAAATTGTCAAAATCACAAACCAACAGGAAAATGAAAATCCAAACCACAAGGAGGTATCCCCTATTTGAATGATTATTATAAAAAGACTAAAATGCTGGTGGGGATGTAGAGAAAGGGGAATGCTCATATACTGCTGATGGGAATGTAAATTAGTATAGCCATTATGGGAAACGGTATGGAATTCCCCAACAAGCTAAAACTAAAATGACCTTAATTAGTCCTTGCGTTGATGAACTCGTGGCTAACACTTGTCATTAGACAAGAGAGCGGGAAGAAGCCCTCCCAATCTTTTTAGATCTGTCTTTGGGAGAATAGTTCTTTTTGCCATAGGGCAAAAGAGTGGCCCAATTACACCAAATCTTTTCCCTTCCTACCTACGTATTTCCATTTCCCCCAATCATCTATTACAAGTTCCCAGAAACAGTGAATCCCAGCTTAGAACTGGTCTCAATCCATGAAGTACGGTCTGACAGGACAGAGTCCATGCAACCATCATCAACTTGGGTCTGGTCCCATACTTCTACTAATGCAGCTGAAGGTAATGTAGCATCCCTCCCTTCTACCACACATGTTGTTGGTTCATATTGAGTGTATATGGAATAATCTCCCCAGATCTTCTTAACATGAACCACTGACAAGCCAAGGCGCTCCCATTTGTTTAAATTCTAAATGCTGAGCTTCACATTTATTTTTGTTAACTTTCTTTGTGATGGCTTCAGCCCTTCCTGTTCCAACCTGTCGAGATCACTCTGAATGTTGATACTGACATCCATCATATTAGCGATCCCTCCCAGCTTTCTGTCATCTGCAAATGTGATCAGCATGCTCCTATGCTTTCATCCAAGTTTTTGATGAAAACTCACTGTATTTTTTAAAAGTCTTTTAATTTAGTTGATTTTGGTCCAATTTTTGATAATTGTGTAATGCTATCTAAAAGCAGGGGAATCCAAGTTATGAGGTTCAACCTGATTCCAAAATAATGTAATTAAAATAAATATGCTTTGCAAAATTGAGCCAGGCCCCAAAGGTAGTACCAATGTGACCCAGACTCTGGCATGGTCAATCTGCTATTTTGGACAAAGCTAACAATTAAATTGGATAAATGTTTGTTGATGAAGATGATGACTCTAGACTAACAGACTGAATGGTACAAAGGCAAGCAAACACACTAGATTGATTTTTCAGTGTGGAGACAGTTCCCAGCTGGGACAACTCAAAGTGCTGGGAAGGGTTTGCCATTGAATGACTAATTAGGCCATGTAGACTGATAATTGGATAATTTGGGGCCAAAAAATCACTTTTGAGGCCTAAATTATCTGAACTGGCCATCTATCGTGCTTTCAAATGCCCTGGAACAATGTCAAATTGCATGCTCCAGCCTTAGCCTAGGCAGTGCTAAGAAGCTTCACTAATTGAGATGAACTGCATATGGAGAGGCCAGGGTGCCTGTGGGAGGGTAACTCTTCATTCTTGAATACTTTTCTAGCACCCACTCTCACTGGAACCAGAGAGACAGTGAAGCTTGGTATTTAGGAGCACAGGTTTTGGGTTCAATATACTTGGCTCCTAGTACACTTGGCTCTTAATTCTATCTCTGCTGCATATATTAGCTACATGACCTTTGGCAATTCAGCCCTTTAGCCTCTCCCAGTTTAAATTTCCTTATCTGTGAAATAGAGATCATACTACTTACCTTAAGAGTGTTCTGCATGGTATCTGATGTGTCGTGTTCATGCTCATTAGGACATTCAACAAATGGCAGAGTAAGAAAGTTTGGCCAAGGAAATAACATCAGGGCACTGTGCTAAAGCTTTGACAAGTATAATTGTATTTAATCTTCACAAACAACCCCAGGAAGTAGATATTATTGTTACTCTCATATCACAGATGAGGAAGCTGAGGCATCAAAAGGTGTAATCAGTTGCTCAAGGTCACTTAGCTAGTAAATGACAGTGTTGGGATTTTCACCTAGGCCCGCATAATTCCAAAGAAGCCTAAACTGTTAACTTAGTCTTATTATTCTGCTTTATTTTCTTACACTATTATTTGAAACTTGATTTTAGTCAAGAGCCACTACTTATAATCAGAATAAGAGTCCTCAACCTTTGATGCTAAGGATCTACCATACTTCTCATATGATGTTTTGTGATCAGGTGCAGAGAGGAGGCTTCGAAGCCTATAATGAGGGTAGGGAAGAGGGAAAGAGGATCACAGCAGGCACACTAATCATTTCTATCAACACTGCAACCTAAGAGAAGGGTACATAGCAGGGACACACTCACTCTTTACCAGCCATTAGACCAGAAGCTTGAGACACTGATTAGACCTGGGGACAGCAGTTTGGTAGCAGCCACCAAGACAGATCAACTGACTGGGGGCCTCTAGACTGGTATTTCTTTATCTGAGCACAAGCTGTGATTCTAAGTATTTTTTGTCTTCAAGTAGGAAGGATAATGATGCCTACATGGTGGTTTAAAGGATAAAATGAGACAATGTACCACAATGTCTAGCATATAGAAACTGCTCAATAATTGTAGACTTTTTTCCTTCCCTTCTCTCTTCATTTAGACCCTGTTTTACTAGAAGTTTGCTTTTCTAAGCCCTTTAAATAAATTGTCTTGCAGAACTATTTATTCATTTGCTCAGAAAATCCTTTCTTGTGGCTTTTCTCTGTGTTACCCAAATTCTGAGGAATTTGCAGGGTTCAGACTGATGGGATTTTACTATATCTCATATGAAATAAAAATGTTGATATGTTTTGGTTGACTTAACAACACCAATCGTCATTTATAATCTTCAAAATGTTTTTACAACCATCATTCTTGTGTGGCTGGTGTTCACAATACTCCTCTGAGGTTAAATATTGTAATCATCTCCATTGAAGGAGGGAGGGAGCCAAAAGCAGGAACCAGGTGACACAGGCAGGAAGCAGCATAGGTGGCGTTCCATCCCAGTCCTCCTGACATCTGATGTCACGGCCAGAGCTCACTCCTCTCCACCAATGGTCTAATCTCTCGGAAGAAGCAGCAGGTCAATCAATGTTGATGCAATTGCATAAACTGCTTAAGAATAACTGGAGGCTCACCCAGATGGTTTGAACACAATATGAAAAAAAAAAAAACAGTAGTCACTTTGTCTAGATCATGAGAGAAATCTACAAATTGTAGTTCGCCTGTGCATATTTTGATTGGCACAAACACCAGGAATCCTGCAACAATGTGTATGACAGGTGCAGCACTGTCAGGGTCATTTGTTAAGGCATTTAGAGATTCAATAAGGCAAAAATTATTTGGCGCAATGGATGCACTGAATTGCTAAATGAAGTGAGAAATACAGAAAAGGTATGAAAACTGTCTAACACGGTGCCAGACACAAAATCATTCAATCAACTCTTATTGCAAGTACCATAAATAGAGACCCTGATCATTCATTTGAAAGCAGGAAATCACAAAACTTACTCTGGAATAATCGAGATCTCTGGGTGTTGAGTCTGTTAAAGCTCGGACAAGGGCATTCATCATGCAGATTGGAGGAGAAGGTGGAGAGGGCTGAGAAGGTTCCTGTTGTAATGGGCTCTTTGGTTTGGAAGGTAGACGACCTCTCCTCCCTTTCAGACTATCTGTACGGACAACTAATGCCAAAGAGACAAAAAAAAAAAAAATCTTCAAAGATTATGTTATGAATGACCATAAATCGCAAAAGGGAATAAAAACACATTATAGCTGAGTAATCGTTAATGAGACCAACCATTTAAAAGTGGCAGTAAGATTGGAATAATATTCACACAATGATTTCATGAGAGTTGAAGCAAGCAGCATAAAAGCCACCCATATTTACATTTGGTAATGAATTAGCACTAAAACTCTCCTTCTAAAATAGAGCAAAGATGTATGTATACAAGTTCTCTATTAATTTTGAGAAATTAGAATAGTCCTCAATTATTTTAAAATGTAGATATATATGATAAAATGTTGAAAGGAAAAAGGAACAAGAAAAATTCACCATCCCAGTGTAAATATTAACTTTTTTTTCAGTGATTTCTGAGAATATGTATGAGCAAACTGGGTAAAAAGCATTATACCATACCTTCTTTTACCATTCCAACACTGAGACACTTCTGAAATCGACAGTACTGACATCGGTTTCGACGTCTCTTGTCTACTGGGCAGTTTTTATTTGCCAGGCAAACATATTTTGCATTTTTCTGCACTGTTCTCTGAGAAAACATAATACAAGATAGTCAACTGATAGTTTCTGGAAAAAGGTAGGACCTGACAAGATGTATTTTAATTACAATGTGAAAAGCGACAGTGCAATTCATATAATTCGATAAATTTAATTTCCTAACACGCTAGCCTGCAGGAGAAACAATTTTATTAGTGTTAGCTGCTGACAATGAAAATCATCTCGGATTGTTCTAAAGCAAGTCTCAGGAGACACCCAACTCTGAATGATAAAATCATATCTGAAATTACCAGGTCAACATATCATACCTTGGAGAATTAGATTATCTCCACTTTTAATATCCCTTTGGGAACAATTTTCTACTTGTTCCACTCCCCTGATTATTGCTGACCTTATTAAAATAAAATCAAAATTATCTGGGATGTATTTTGTTTGCTATCACTATTGTAAGTCAAATATCACAGTAACTGGCTTTGTTACCCAACAGAGATGAAATCATAAAAAGCAAAATCAGGATTTTTCTGATTAAAACATATAGGAAATAATATTATAATGCAAAAAAATTCCCTTAATCAGCCTGTATAGCTTATTTTATCTTTAAAGACCATATATGATAAACAGGCCATTTCTGATTTTTCAAAGCAAAATATTAAAAGTAGTTATTAGAAATCATTACCATATCTAAGGAAGAAAGCAAAAAACCCCAAAGAATAAAAAAAATAAGACAAAGAAAGAAATATGAGAGCCATATATTTTCAGTGAAAATTCCTATTAATAGGTCATTTTATAAATGACTATTCACATAGACACCAAAATAACCATATTGTAAAAAATATAAAACTTAAGCTTGGGTAGAAAAATAATGTTGTGTTTTTCAGAATCCATATAATTTGGAAATAACACATGGAGATATAAACATATTTCAAACTCCAAATTTAAACAAATGCTTGCTTTTAAAATTGAAAACATTTGTGCAAATGAATGTATTTTACCACTTAGGGTGTAACTGCTCAGAAATTACCTGGATCTATACAACTCCTAATAGAGCAGAAAGTTGGAATTTATTTGGGAAGCCTGGGCTGCATTAAAAAAGAAAGAAAGAAAAGAAAAGAAATCCAGATAACTTGGGCTTCATGATCTATTTTGTGTTCAGACATCTAGATTTGCTTTCAACCTTTACTTTCAGTCATCC